GTCCATCTAGCCCAGTAGCCTGTCTGCCAACAGTGGCCAGCACCAGGTGCCCCAGAGGGGGAGGACCGAAGACAATGATCAAGCGATTTATCTCCTGCCATCCTTCTCCAGCCTCTGACAAACAGAGGCCAGGGACACCATTTCTATCCCCTGGCTAATAGCCTTCTATGGATCTAACCTCCATTAATTTATCTAGCTTCTCTTTAAACTCTGTAATAGTCCTAGCCTTCACAGCCTCCTCTGGCAAGGAGTTCCACAGGTTGACTACATGGTGTGTGAAGAAGAACATTTTTTTATTACTTTTAAACCTGCTACCCATTAACTTCATTTGGTGTCTTCTAGTTCTTCTATTATGGGAACTGATAAATAACTTTTCTTTATTCACCCTCTCCACACCACTCATGATTTTATATACCTCTATCATATCCCCCCTTCGTCTCCTCTTTTCTAAACTGAAAAGTCCCAGTCGTTTTAACCTCTCTTCATATGGGACCCGTTCCAAACCCCTAATCCTTTTAGCTGCCCTTTTCTGAACCCTTTCCAAGGCCAAAATATCTTTTTTGAGGTGAGGAGACCACATCTGTACACAGTATTCAAGATGTGGGTGTACCATAGTTTTATACAGGGGCAGTAAGATATTCTGTGTCTTATTTTCTATCCCTTTCCTAATAATTCCTAACATCCTATTTGTCTTTTTGACCGCCGCTGCACACTGTGTGGAAGTTTTCAGAGAACTATCCACGATAATTCCAAGATCTCTTTCCTGATTTGTCATAGGCAAATTAGCCCCCATCATATTGTATGTATAAATTAGCCCCCCTCATACTGTACGTATAGTTGGGGTTATTTTTCCTGATGTGCATTATCCACATTACATTTCATTTGCCATTTTGTTGCCCAATCACTCAGTTTGGTGAGATCTTTTTGAAGTTCTTCACAGTCTGCTTCTGTCTTGACTATCTTAAACAGTTTAGTATCATCCGCAGACTTTACCACCTAACTGCTTACCCCTTTCTCCAGATCATTTATGAATAAATTGAACAGGATTGGTTCTAGGACTGACCCTTGGGGTACACCACTAGTTACCCCTCTCCATTCTAAAAATTTACCATTTATTTCTATCCTTTGTTTCCTGTCTTTTAACCAGTTCTCAATCCATGAAAGGACTTATCCCTCTTATCCCATGACAATGTAATTTACACAAGAGCCTTTGGTGAGGGACCTTGTCAAAGGCTTTCTGAAAATCTAAGTATACTATATCTACTGGATCCCCCTTGTCTGCATGTTTGTTAAGCCCTTCAAAGAACTCTAATGATTAGTAAGACATGATTTCCCTTTACAGAAACCATGTTGACTTTTGTCCAACAAATTATGTTCTTCTCCTGACAATTTTATTCTTTACTATTGTTTTGACTAATTTGCCTGGTACTGAAGTTAGACTTACCAGTCTGTAATTGCCAGGATCGCCTCTAGAGCCCTTTTTAAATATTGGTGTCACGTTAGCTACCTTCCAGTCATTAGGTACGGAAGCTGATTTAAAGGGTAGGTTACAAACTACAGATAATAGTTCAGCAGTTTCCCATTTGAGTTCTTTTAGAACCCTTGGATGAATGCTGTCCAGTCCCGGGGATTTGTTAACATTAAGTTTTTCTATTTGTTCCAAAACCTCCTCTAATGACACTTCAATCCAGGACAGTTCCTCAGATTCATCACCCACAAAGGACGGTGCAGATTTGGGAATCTCTCTAACACCCTCAGCCGTGAAGACTGAAGCAAAGAAATCATTTAGTTTCTCCGCACTAGCTTTATCGTAGTCTTCACGGATGGGATGCTGGGGTAGGGATTTGTCAGAACTGATCAGGTAGCTGCTGGCTGTGGAACATTATTTAGCTGAGATCATGCAGTGACTGGTGAAATAGGGTAGATCTGAAGACATGGTTATAGACTGTCTGAATAAGGAAGGAGATAAATCTGTGGGGAGTTTCCCCTAACTACTATGACATTTCTGCTCACTGTAACACTGGTAAGTCCACATGGATCTGGATTCAGGCAGTGGTTGCTTTCCGATCCCAGTTGGGCATGTCCTCCCCCGCAGCTCTCAATTGTCTCTATATCCTTCCCCTTAATGCATTCTCATGTACGTCCTCTCCTTCCTTAGCTCCTCTGTCTGGGGCACGGTCTTCCCCTCTTACAACCCCTGTGGGATTCCTTCTCTTTCCTTGTTCAGTTCTTATTCCACCCTGATCCCAATTGCTTCTATTACTATATGTTATTGCCTCAATACTCTCCCGTTTTTCCCCGTTTCGGAGGGAAAGGATCCCCATATTGCCTCTGCACCTGATTCATCAGTTCCAGCAAATCCCTCCATTGTTGGGGCTATCCGGGCTGCCACAACCATTTTTATACCACGGCAGTAATCCATCTGCCATTTCCCTGAGTTCTGTCGTTGTCCCGGAAACCTGGTTTAAAGTCTAGGTGTTGTTTAGGGGTTTAAGTCCTCCAGAAATCCATGCTAGTGCCAATTTTACCATAAAGTCGGATGAGGGATGTCCAGGTACCTGTTTCATAGTCAAGATCTGTTGTTTAACAGAACAGGATGGGAATTGTTCCACAATAATGGCCAAGGTGACAAGCAAATTCTGATTTCCCCATGCTACTATCCGGTGTAATTCCTCATCCCTTAAGGGGCTAGTGAGTGGAATCATAACATCCCATTCCTCGTGAACTATGGGTTCAGCTGGTTCAATATACCCTAGTCACCCATTCCAGCACTTTATTCGGGTCAAGGGGTCCTATTTGGGCAGCAATGGAACAGATTAGAGCTGGGCTCATACGTGTTACCTTAGTAGTAACTGCTCCTCTGCCGGCTATTGGGAGGGAAAGTGATTATTCGGTAATAGCTGCTACCAGGTTATAAATGGGATTCTGGTGTGTTTCACCTTGAGTCTTGACATCATTTTCCTCTTCCCAATCAGAATCCACCCAAGCTTCTTCAGAATCTTCACTTATACAAGCGACCTGTAGATTAGTGGCAGCTAATTGCTCTTGTAAATGTTTAATTTGTTTTTTGTGTTGAGTGCAGTTGTTTTTGGTCGATGAGCTAACCTGAAGAGTTAAAGATCTTAAGAGATCTTGTAACCCTGGCACCAACTTAGATTGCTTCTGTGAGCTTTTAAATTCAAACTCTACATTCCTCAGCTCCCCACGAACCTCTGCCAATGATTCCCAGAGCTGACTACGAACTACTGCCTGGTGTTCATTCTGACTAATAGATTGCTTTAAGCGTTCCTGTTGTTCCTGTTACCTATCCTCCAAAGCTCGGTATTCCTCTTGCCATTGCTGATTTCTTTGAACAAATTCCTGAAGCGCGATATATGCTAAACTTACTGCTCCTGCCTGTTTCTGGCACTCTGTTAGCTTAGTACTGGACACATATGCTCAAACAATTGTTCCAAATCTTCTATGTTGTGCTTTCCTTGCCTAACCATAGCTCGTGATTCCCAAGGGGGATGGACCCACTGAACTGAGCGACTGAAATATATTCAATCTTGAAGCACATTTACACAGCAAGGCTAAAACTGAAATGAATATGCAACTTGAGCTACATCAATTGTGTAGCTTCAGTTAAAATAGCTTATTTCGGCTTTTGGCGCTATCTACACAGCAGGAAGTCCAAGAAAGAGCACTCTTCCTCCAACTTCCCTTACTCCTCATACAATGAGGGTTACAAGGAGTCAGAGTAAGAAGTCCTCCCACTTGACATTATTTCAACGTCGCAATAACTGCTTATAGTGTAGACTCGGACTATGTTATTTCGGAATAATGTCAAGTATTCCTAAATAATGCTGCTATGTAGATGTAGCTTTGTAGGAGTAAAAGACAGGACTATGCAGCACTTTAGGAGTGTGTGAACAAAATGAAAACTGCCTCTGAAACTGCCTCAGTACCATGTATACAATAGCACTGCTACACCAGAGAGGGGCCAATAACGACTACATGGGACCCCACAAATGTTTGGTGCTGGGCCCACAAAATCTTCGTCTGGCCCTGCTCTTAGTGTTTGCTGCAACTGAGCTGAAGCAACATAGTGTAGAGATTTGTGAAATACCCTCACTATCAGTGTTACCTGCTAACACTGTAATATTGCCATTTGTTCTCTTGCTTCTGCATTTGCAAGACACATTAGACTGAGATGTAAAATCCCTTGTTTTCCTGAGTGTAATCCTTCCACTGTTGTGTTCTTTTGTCTTCACTTTCCATTGGAATGTCAGCACAGTGAGCTGTTGTCAAGATAATGCTTATTTTATTCAGCAGTCAAGGACATAAGAATGGTCATACTGTGTCAGACCAAATGTCATCTAACCCAGTGTCCTGTCTTCCAACACTGTGAGGGCCAATGTGAGGTGCCCTAGTGGGAATGAACAGAGCAAGTAACCATCATGCGATCTGTCCCCTGTTTGCCCATTCCCAGCTTTTGGCAAACAGAGGCTAGGGACACCATCTCTGCTCATTCTGTTGGCCATTTGGTGGACCTATCCTCTATGAACTTAAGTAATTGTTTTTTGAAACCTGTTATGGTCTAGGCCTTCACAATATCCTTGGGCAGGGAGTTCCATAGGTTGACTGTGAGTTATGTGAAGAAATAGTTCCTTTTGTTTGTGTTAAACCTTCTACTTATTAATTTCATTTGATGACTTCTAGTTCTTATGTTATGAGAAGAAGTAAATAACACTTCCTTAATTTCTCCAGAATATTTTTCAACATGTTGGAATGGTAGTAGGTAAAAAGTGAAGTAGGATCCATTCAAGTGAGATTATGAAATTAGTTTTACTTATATCCTTTGTATAGATTTACATTACATTTAGTCCTGACTGTCTGCACTGTGTATTTTAGCATTACATTGCTGATAATTTAAGCAATAAAAATGGCAAAACAAAAAACTGTGATGGGGAAATGTGTGTCTATGTATGTGTATTAGGTTTTTCTTGTTTGTTTTCTAGGACAAAGAAGGTCAGCCATTGCTATCGTATCACTTACCGTCACTTGGAGAGGACTCTGACTCAGGTCGAGGTGCATCGCCTTCATCAAGCCATAGAGGAATCTGCAGTACAAGAACTGGGAGTGGAGGGCAGATTCTAAAATCCCTGCTTTAGCAGTCCCAGACACTGTTAGTGTTGGGGGTTTTGTTGGTTGGTTGGTTGGTTGGTTGGTTGGTTGGTTTTCTGGTGGGTGGGTTGGTTGGTTGGTAAAGAAAGACAGAGAATTTGGTCAAATGTAGAACTTGGAAGCCTTTTGATAAATTGGCAGTGGTAGAACTTTCAGATCATAAAGATTACTGTTTAGAAATCATTGACAAAGCATTTGTTCTTTATTTTAAAAAGGTGGGGATGCAATAATGTAAGATTTCTCTCCTGTTACATTAAGAAATACTCTGCCTGGTGGTTTTCTGTGTTGTTAATTGGTCCGTGGGTTCCATTAAAGTGTAAACGCTTGGCATTATTTCTGTGTTGACAGAGTTTTCCATCCACATAATGAGTGAAGCAAAACACATTTTAGCTCTCCATAGAAAAACTGTTCAATTTTTGTTCCCTTTTAAAATCAACAGGGCACATTCTGCCTCAAGAAAAACTTTCATGAAATATACCTGCAAAGTTTGGATCCTGAGCCAAGTTGATTGGTCTTGGATTTTGGTTTGGCCTAGTATTGCAGAAGGGATAGAAGGGGAGTGTGGCTCTAAGTGCAAGTCAGAAATTTCCCAGCATGCCGTATGTTTGGATGTGGCCTCCAGTGGGGCCCAGCTGTACTCAGACCAAAGCAAAGAGAGCCTCTTTCACTGCTGGCCACATGTGTTTCACATGCAAAGCATCTGCTTCAAATCTGCGTTCCTAGGATGTGTACTGTGGCAAAAATGTCCATCACCTGCGTCATCAGCCAAACACTGATATTGGTGAGAAGATGGAAGAGGAAAGTACCCATTATTATAAGGCCATGAAAAGCAGAAATATGCAGGTATTTAAACTCCCGTAATGATGTGCTGCCTAACAGAAATCATCCATTGAAACACATGACCTTTGAGGAAGAAAGCAGATCTTTGATAGACCCTTTTTTAGGTCAGTCACTTTATTGGATGCTTACTTCTTCCATGACAGGTTACCATAAGCAAATTTTGGCAGTGAAATAATGCTGGAGGCTCATGGAAATTTTCAAATGAGCTGATAAATACTTGGTGAAACAACACTCAAATGCAGAGATGGTACTGTGAGCCATTGTTCTTGCCTGTGATTATATTAACATGGTCTTTCAGGTAACTTACCAATTTGCTGACTCAACAAGGAAGTTGCCTTCTTCAAGGAAGGGGGTAGTAAAAACAACACATTAAGAACCATCCAGCATTTTATATCCGACCAAGAGATTACTGTGCAATAAACATGTACGTAACCAGAAGAAGCCAGCAACCAGCACAGATGGGACATGATTATAGAGGTCCTTGTAATTTCATTATTCAACAGACTTAGCTGTATAAACACATTTTAATCTAAATCACTGTTGCACTATCAAAATAAAATGATTATGAAGACATCATGCTAGATTTTTTTTCTACAAGGCAAACAGAGTAGGAGCCATTTGCACAACAGAAGAACCTACTTGGTAACCTTTAAACAAAAATCTACTTTTTTAAAGAACCAGTTTCCTTAATTGTATTATGTGTCATTAGATTCTCTCTTGTTTTTAATTCCCGCACCTTTTAGAAATCTCATTAAGGATTAGGGATGTTAAAATGAATTTAATTATATAACCGTGTAACTGCTGAAAAAATGCAGAGGTTACACAGGCGGCAGTCCGTTCCCCAGGAGCCAGTGCTCACTGAGAGCCAGCTTTTAAGCCACGCACACTGGCTCCTGCCTTCCTCACACCTTGCTCTGCTGCCTCTGATACAGTGGGAGTGGGGGCAGGCAGCTCCCTGGGAGCCGGTGTAAAAGGGGAACCAGCTTTTAAACGGGCTCCCTGCAGCTACTGGGAGTCTGCATGTAACTGTGAGGGTTAGGTTAACCGTGTACACAGTTACACTTTCATATCCCTGTTAGGGATTACTACAGTGGAAGGGCTTTTTCAAAAATTGCACCAGTCAACAGAGTGATGATTATTTCTTGGCCAGCCAATTCAGGCAATGCTGCCACCTGGGGATCTCCAATAAATCATGCATGATGCAGGTTGGTGTGTTCATTAATCACGTTGCAAGAGAGGAGATTACCAGCTGCTTCCTGCTGTGTGAGAGCATTCATAATACCCAGTGCCTCTTGGGGGAAAGATGGCGTCTCCTCTTTTATTATGGCCCTGCCTGAGGCACATTGCAGGATTCCCTTTGCCATTCAATAGGGAAACCTCCATCTACTGCTTTCCAAACCCCTTTACTCTGCCCCCACCATACACCAAGATTCCTTAAAGCAATCTTGGTTTTCCCATGAAATTGGTCCATCAAAATGTGTGACATATATTTAAGTGAGGAAAATATTGGACAAGGAACCTTGGGTCTCACAACTAGAGGCGTGAATTAAATGGCTTAACAAGGGCACCCAGATGTTCTTCAATCAGCCTGATTCTTATCCATTAACATTTAGGCTACGTCTACACTGGCATGATTTTCCGGAAATGCTTTTAACGGAAAAGTTTCCATTAAAAGCATTTTCGGAAAAGAGCATCTAGATTGGCACGGATGCTATTCCGCAAAAGCACTTTTTGCGGAAAAGCGTCCGTGCCAATCTAGACACGCTTTTGTGCAAAAAAGCCCCGATCGCCATTTTATCCAGCGGGGCTTTTTTGCACAAAACAGTACTGTGCTGTCTACACTGGCCCTCTTGCACAAATGATTTGCGCAAGAGGGATTTTGCCTGAACAGGAGCAGCATAGTATTTCCGCAAGAACACTGACGATCTTACATGAAATCGTCAGTGTTCTTGCGGAAATTCAAGCGGCCAGTGTAGACAGCTGGCAAGTTTTTCCTCAAAAGCAGATGATTTTGAGGAAAAACTTGCCAGTCTAGACACAGCCATATGGTACTTGGCAAGATCCATATTGCAAACTGCCTGTACTTAGCAGCAGCAGAGTGGGGAGAGGGGAGGAGAAGAAAGTATCTAACCTGTTGGTGGGGAAAGGGTGAGAAGGTAGGTGAGTTCTTGAGAATGCTTTTACAGAGGTGTCACTGTCAGTAATAAGTAGTTTTCTGCTTCACTGTTGATCTGCTTTCTTCTTTTAAAATGTATATGATTCTACTGTCTTCAATTTTGTTCATTAATAAAAGAGTATTTTGTAAACGCTGCAGTGTTTTTGACCCTTACTGTAAAATATTACAATAATATTTTATGAGGGATGAACTCAGAGAACCTTCCAATGGGAAGAAGAAGATCTCAATGCTAAGAACTTCATTCCATGTCATATAGCTTCTAAAAATGCCTTCTTCCATCAGTGACTGTCTGGAAAGCTTTACCCTGCTTTCCTGGAGGATGATTTGGCTACTGTTATCCATACCTTCATTATCTCTAAACTGCATTTTTCCATCTCATACTTGGGAGTGAGCAAGTCGAGCATGGTACAGTCTACAACTTCCAACTCTTCAACAGTATCAGTTACCAAGAATATATCCACCCACTATGTTAACCATCTATACGTCATATTCAGGATCTCATTTGTTCTCTATGAGGCCTCTCTTTGCTTCTCCCTGAGACCACTGTCTCTCATCACAGCCATTCTATAGGATCTCAGAAACTACTAATCTCTACTGTTCACGTGGAAATGTGGGAAAGGGACAGAGCTTTCTGTGAAGCAAGATTATGGAATGATGGAGGTAAGCATGACTGTAGATCATGTTGCTTTTGGACCAAAATGCAAAAGTGACTTTTTAGCTCAGTTGTTTGACCTCAAAAAGAAGGTAAAAGAAGGAGCTAGAAAGGGGGTGGCATGCCTTGAAAGAAAAGAACTCAGATGTCCTCAGGAGAGAACTAGCTTAGGCCATGAGAAAGATTTGAGGCTTGTGGAAAGCTATGAGTTGCCACAGTTATCAGACGGCATTGTATAAATGCTTAGATCAGAGGAGGTGAACCTAAGGCCTAGGGACCAGATGTGGCCCCTGGCTTCCCTGGATCTGGCCCCTGAAGCTCAGGCTCTCCCCTTCAGCATTGGGGAGCCAGTGCTGGTGCTCCACCGCTCCCCTCTCACCCTCCCACACACACATCCCATCATAGGGCTGGAGCACATAAAATCTACTAGCCTGGGCCCCTCTAGTCTCTGATGTGCAAGGAGAATGTGGAGAGTGTCTTTCTCCCTCTCAGTTGGGGGCCACGTCAGTGAGGATTTGTTTTTCTTTTTTGCTTCTCACTTGTGTACAGCCCCAGACTGATTTTTTTCAGTGGTTCAGCATCCCCTGACCCAAATAAGGATCCCCACCCCTGGCTTAGATAGATTTATATTAGATAGGTCTTCTTCATGAATACTCTGGTAGAGATGTGATCTGGAAATCTTTTAGGGCATGGATTTGCTGTTGTCAGTGACTAGCACTTTCCATTCCCATAAAAGCAGACAGCAGATCAGAAGCAATAGGGTACAATTTTGAGATGACAACCTTTCGGAAATCTTGCCCTTCTACCCATCCCAGATTTTATGCAGGTGCGTTTGGAAATGTTCACTGTAGGCAGCAGTACTACTGCTCTGTTTTTAGAATCATAACAACAGAAACAAAAAACAGGACTATGTAGCACTTTAAAGACTAACAAGATGGTTTATTAGATGATGAGCTTTCGTGGGCCAGACCCACTTCCTCAGATCAAATAGTGGAAGAAAATAGTCACAACCATATATACCAAAGGATACAATTAAAAAAATGTATATATCCTTTGGTATATATGGTTGTGCCATTTTTCTTCCACTATTTGATCTGAGGAAGTGGGTCTGGCCCACAAAAGCTCATTACCTAATAAACCATCATGTTAGTCTTTAAAGTGCTACATAGTCCTGTATTTTGTTTCAGCTACACCAGACTAACACGGCTACATTTCTATCATCATCAACAACAGAGATTGACCAGTAACTTGTTCTTGGCCGCATGACTCTGGTTGCCAGTAGAATAGTGTTTGGTCTCCTATGTCATAAATTATTACTGTTAGATCTACTTGGTTGTTCAGAGATAAGTTATCCTAATAGAACCTCAGAGTCTGGCCTGTTCCAGCATATATGTACTGTAGAAAACCCTACCAAAGAGGACTCCGTAGGGAACGCCTCTCCTTATCTGACTCTACCAAAGAAATGGCTGCCTCTATGCCTCTCGCTGTGCTCTTCTTAGCAAGCATGTAAGTCCAAGTTACTGTGAGCAACATCAACAGAAATCATCACTGATGTGGTGGACCGCAAAGAAAGTAGGGAGTGTGATGTTCTCAGGGGAGCCAGCAGCCACACCGGGCCTCTGGCTAAGGTGGATTGGGGTGGCTCCATACTCTTGGAAAGGGTGGTGCTTCAGGGGTGGGTTGGGGTAGCAAGTGCACCATGCTACTTTCTGCTCCTGTCCCTCCCTCAGCGCCTCCTGGAGCACAGCGCAAACCCTCCTCCCCTTCCCCCAGCCCTTAGAGCCATCTGGAATTACCACACAGCACTCGGGTGGTGATTTAAAGGGCCTTTGCAATTGACTTCTTTGCTCTTTCCCCATTGGTGGGCTGGATGTCCTAACTATCCAGTTAAATAATTCCAAGCAACAAAATTCAAGAGGAGCACCATCAGATTGAGAGTACTACTTTGCATGGTCTTAGCACTGACTCATCAGGATAATTGGCATCTAGCAGGCCACTGGTTTCATTGTGATCACCAGTTTGGTACTTTACTTTTGTCTGATGTTAGATTTATGTAGGTTGAACCTCCCTGGTCTGGCACTCTTGGGATCTGACCAGTCCCGGACAAGGGAGTTTGCCGCCAGGAGAGCTCTGGGAAGGGAGGCCAGCCTCCCTGCTGGGCTCCTCTCCCCCAGCCTGCCTGTCACCTCGCCAGTGCGCACAGCAGTCCCACTTCCCTGCTGGAGCTCACAGCAGACTCGCTGCGTCCCCACTGGAGCTTGTGACCCGCCGGAGCTTGAAGCGGCCTTGCCGGAGCTCATGACAACCCTGTCACCCCACCAGAACTCCTGGTGGTCTCCACTGGCTACAGGCTCCACTGCCCTGTGAGTGTCATCGCCCCCCTTCCCCTCGGCTTCTCTGCCCCACCAACTGCGGATTCAGGTGCCGTATGAGATCTGCTGGCCCTGCGGCATCAGTAATGGTTGTTTAAAAAGTTGCCTTATAACATGTTGCATCAAAAGCTTAGGGGTGTAGGCATGGTTGGGGATTTTTATGTTTGGTTTAACAAAATGTACCATTTTAATGTTTTAGAGACAATATATAGTGCAGTCCCCATTGTATTTACAGAATGATTACTATGGATGTCTGACTATGGACACGAGGGATGTTAAATATCGGTTAATTGAATAGTTGATTAACCTCGTGAATTCTTATCGGTTAGTTGACTATTCTATACTCCCCGGGAAGCCCCTGTCTGGAGTGGGGGGGAAGGGGTTTAACCTCCTGGACCTGGCACAAGCCCAAACTGAGCTGGGCTGCCTACCCACCTGGCTCCTAATACACTTTAAATGCAGCACCGCAGCAGGAGTAGGTCCAGAACCCGACATAAGCTGGGAGTGAGCTGAGCTGATGGCCAGACTGCTAAAAAATGTACTGGCAAGGTGTGTGGGGTGAAATGCATGTAGTCTATACCATTAACCTATAAGCTTTTGCTTATCGGTTAATTGGTTAATCAACTATGCTATTTACATTCTTAATAGAGACTGTGGAGATTTTGTATTAATGCACAAGATTTGTGGCTTCTCAGCATGTTGATTTACAGTAGCTTGGCTGGTCTCTTTTGTCTTTGTTTTGGTTTTGATCTCTGTAAGCATGTTACAAAGGAAAACTATTGTGAATTATCTGAACAGCAAATTGCTGTGCCATTGTACCACTTGAGACTTCAATGACTTCTCCCATAAACTAACACTACCAATAAAACAGTAGTCCCAGTCAGAAAGCAGCCTTGTACAGACAACCTGCAATCAGCAGTACACTAGTATGGTTTGGTCATCTGCCTCCCATTTGGTAAGAGCAGATTTCCTCAGTCCTCTTAGCAGATTGGTGGCTGTCCTTATTTTCAGCAGAGCTCTCTGCTTGTTTCTCTGTGCAGTTGTATCGATTGTTACTAGAATTGATTTTCTTTTTTACTGGGAAGTAGACTAGATCAGAAACTGTATGTCATATGCTTTAGTCTAGGAATGAATGGCTTCAGTTTGTTTGTTTAGCTCATCATTTCCTCAGTATTTTCCTCTCTAGACCATATTAAGACATTTTCTTTCACAAGTTCTGCAGAATGAAACAGTGGCAACACTTTTGAAAAGTGGCTATTTTTTAATGTATTTTTATCCGGAAACAGTGTTCGTTTATAGTAGGGCCCTCTTATGCTAGGCACAATAGTGAAAATGAGCAATATACACAAATCGAGCCCCAGAGAGCTCTCGCAATCTAGTGGCTCGCCTATACTCAGAAGGAGTATTGTTTGAACTAGATTGGCATTGTTAAGGTGGCACAACCCACCAAGGATGGATGCAGTAAGGGCAGTGAGGCCGAC